GTCTTCCTTTGCCGTTGGTTCACCCTCCAATGGCCGCCGCGGCTGGCGCACTGCGGCTGGCGCACTGCGCTGATCCGATGGCAGGAGCCAGGAGCCAGGTGCTTTTCCTGGTCTCCCATGGGGTGCAGGGCCCAAGCACTTGGGCCATCCTCCACTGCACTCCCTGGCCACAGCAGAGAGCTGGCCTGGAAGCGGGGCAACCGGGACAGAATCCGGCGCCCCGACCGGGACTAGAACCTGGTGTGCCAGCGCCGCTAGGCGGAGGATTAGCCTAGTGAGCCGCGGCGCCGGCCTCATGGTTGACTTTAAAGAGGTTGTGTGTGTCCAGGAATGTATCCATTTCTTCTAGCTTTCCCAATTTGTTGGCATAAAGCTCTTTTTAGTAGTTCTTGATGATTCCTTTTATTTCTGTGGTATCTGTTGTTACATATAATTTTTAATCTTTAATTTTATTGATTTGGGTCTTCTCCCTCTCTTTTTTTAGGTTAGTTGGAAAAATGATGTGTCAATTTTGTTTGTTTTTTTTTTGAAAAGCCAGCTCTGCCTTTCACTAATCTTTTATATTGTTTTTTTTTTTTTTTTGGTTTAAATTTTGTTTATTTCTTCTCTGATTTTTAATTATTTCTTTTCTACTACTAGTTTTGGGTTTGGTTTGCTGTTTGTTTTTTTTTTAGGTCATTGAGATGCATTGATAGTTCACTTATTTGGTGCCTTTCCAATTTTTTAATGTAGGCACCAATTGCTAAAACGTCCTTCTAAACACTGCTTTTGCTGTATCTCATCAGTTTTGATATGATGGAAAGTCATATTAATAAGCTTCCAGAAATTTTTTGATTTCTCTTTTTATTTCTTCTATGATCCACTGTTCATTCAGGAACATAATATATTGTTCAGTCCTCATGTGCTTGTATATGTCCTAGAGATTCTTGAATTGTTGATTTACAGCTTCATTCCATTGTGGTCAGAGAAGATGCATGGTATAATTTTGATTTTTTTGAATTTGCTGAGACTTAAATTATGTCCTAGCATGTGGCCTATCCTAGAGAAAGTTTCATGTACTAGTGAGAAGAATGTGCATTCTGTGGCTGTGGGATGAAAAGTTCAGTAAATATCCATTCAGTCCATGTGGTCTATAGTGCTGATTAACTCTGTTTTTTCCTTGCTGATTTTCTGTCTGGTTGATCAGTCCATTGCTGAAAGTAGGGCATGTTGGAATCTATGTCTTCCTTTAGATCCATTAACACTTCTTTTAAATAGCCTGGTTTATAATACATTTATAATAGTCAATCTTCCTGTTGAATTGATCCCTTAACTTTAGATAGTGCCCTTCTTTGTCTCTCTCTCTCTTTTTAAAGATTTATTTGTTTATTTTAAAGTTGGAATTACACAGAGAGAGGTGAGGGAGAGGGAGAGGGAGAGGGAGAGGGAGAGGGCGAGGGAGAGGGAGAAGGAGAGTGAGAGAGAGAGAGAAGTCTTCCATCCGCTGGTTCACTCCCCAATTGGCCACAACGGCCAGAGCTGCACTGAACCAAAGCCAGGAGCCAGGAGCTTCTTCTGGGTCTCCCACGCAGGTGCAGGGGCCCAAGAAGTTGGGCCATCTTGTACTGCTTTTCCAGGCCATAGCAGAGAGCTGTATTGGAAGTGGAGCAGCCAGGTCTCGAACTGGCACCCGTATGGGATGCCGGCACTTCAGGCCAGGGTGTTAACCCACTATGCCACAGCACTGGCCCTCTTTTTTGTCTCTTTTAGCAGTTGTTGTGTTAAAGTCTGTGTTGTCTGATATTAGGATCTTTACACAAGCTCTTTTTTGATTTCTGCTAGCATGGAGTATCTTTTCCCATCCTCTCACTTTCAGTCTGCATGTCTTTTTTGGTGAGATGTGTTTCTTGTTGGAAACAAATAGTTGGATTTTGTTTTGCAATGCATTCAGCCAGTCTGTATTTTTTAACTGGATAGTTGAGGCCTTTTATATTCGAGGTGACTATTGATAAGTAATGACTTGGTCCTGCCATTTTTCCATAAATATTCCTATTGTTTACTTTAGATTTCCTTTGTACTTTTACTGGAATATTTTCTACCTTCACTTTCTTTCATAGTAATAACCATGTTTCTGTGTTTCTGTTTGTAGCACATCCTTGAGCTTCTTTCACAAGGCTGGATAAGTGGTGACAAATTCCTTCAATTTCTGTTTGTTATGGAAGATGTTTATTTCACCTTCATTCATAAAAGAGAGCTTTGCAGGGTGAAGTATTCTAAATTGACAGCTTCTTTCTCTTATAATTTGGAGTATTTCTTGCCATTCTTCCTAGCCTATAGGGTTTCAGATGAGAAGTCAGCTGTGATTCTAAGTGGAGATCCTCTGAAAATAATCTGGCATTTCTCTGGTGCACAGCTTAGAATGTTTATGTTTTACTGTGGAGAAAGAGAGAGAGAGGGAGAGAGAGTGAGAGGGAGAGAGAGAGAGAGGTCTTCCATCCTCTGGTTCACTCCCCAAATGGCCTAAACAGCCAGAGTTAGGCTGTTGAGGTGCAGGGACTTAAGGATTTGGGCCATCTTTTACTGCTTTCAGGCCATAGCCAAGAGCTGGATTGGAAGTAGAGCAACCAGGACTCAAACCAGTGCCCATACATAATGCTGGCACTGAATATAGCAGCTTCACCTGCTATGCCACAGCAATGGCCCCTAACACTGCTTTTTAGCTGTCTAATTCCTTCTTCTTCTTTTTTTTTTTTGGGGGGGGGGCGGTCTGGCTATAAAATTTCCAGAGATTTGTCTTCTAACTCAGATATTCATTCTTCTGCTTCACCAATTCTGTTCTTAATTCTTTTCACTGCATTTTTTTTGTTCTATTGAATTATTCATTCTCAATATTTTGTTTTGTTTTCTCCTTAAAATCTCAACTTAATAGAAGAAGCTTTCATTTGTGTTCTGTATGGATTTATTTAGTTCATGTATTTGCTTCTAATTACTTCTAAGTAATGCTATGATCAATTTTTTGAATTCTGTTTCTGACATTTCTTCAATCTCTTCATGTTAGCTTTCTAATATTGAAGTGTTGTGTTCTTTTTGGGGCTTTGATGTTATCTTCCTTATTCTTATTCCTTGAATTGCTGTGTTTATTTTTAGGTGTTTGTGGAGATACTTTTTTTTTTCTTTTCCCTGTGATGGCTGCTATCTTTGGGCTATGCCTCTTTGGCTTAGTGGAGTACCCATTCTTTCAGCAAATACTCAAAGGCATGTGTTGGGTGTGGTTAGGGAGCTCCATTCAGTGCTCCAGGATGAGGGGTGTCCAAAGTGCACCCAAGTTGAGCATGGTAAATCTCTCTCTCTCTCTTTTTTTTCAATCAGAGGGAAGGTTTGTTCAGCTCTATTGGAGTAATCTCATGCTCACCTCCTCTCATGCAAAGAGACCAATGCCTGGACACTAACCCCAGTGGGTACAGTATTCATCCACGCTGCCACAAGAACCACACAGAGGATCCATGCAGTCCTCAGTGTGAGCACAGATCACTTGGCAATGGACCTTACCAGGGAATCAGGGAGCCCCAAGTGTGTAGAGCTGCCCACAGTGACTGCCCAAAGACTCAGCCACACCCTGCACCCTCCAATGCAGCCACAGTATTTTCACAGTCCTAGCAAACAAGGCTCCCACACTCATGAGCACCCAACCCCCCTGTCAATTCTCCCAGCCACACTCAGGCATTGCCTCTCAGCTGGTTGCTGGGTGCTCAGACAAGCTGATGCAACTGTTATATATGTACAAAATGACACCCACCCCCTCTCCACTAGTTACATGATGCCAGTGCTGGGTGGTAGAGGAGAGAGAAACATGCCCCCTTTTTCCCTCTAGGTTGGCAGGTGCACTGTACCTCACAGGGCTCCAAGCTGTATTCATACCATGCTCTTCTGAGTGCTTTATTAGTATTGTTTTGGGCTGCTGTAGTCTTGTCTCACCTCACTCTCCAAAGCTTGTGCTGAGGCTCTTGGCTTTTGGGATCCTGAATTGTGCACATACACACCTTCCACATATGTCCACAGTGTCCTTCTAATTCGAGTGGTGTTTCCTTTGACTTTCTCTCCTTAACTCTTCTCTGAGATTGTACTCTCTCCATTTTTTTAAAACTATCTTCCCCTAGACTAGAGTAGTAAGCTCCTTCCCAATTCTGCCATCTTGTAAATTTCTCCCACTCCTTTATTTTTTGAAGATTTTTAATTTATTTGAAAGGCAGAATTAAACACAGAGAGAGAGGGAGGGAGGGAGGGAGAGAGAGAGAGAGAGAGATCTGTTGGTTTGCTCCCCAGATTCTTGCAACATTTAGGGCTAGACTAGGCTGAAGTAAATCCAGGAATCCCATATAGATTGTAGGGACTCAAGTAACAGAGCCAACTCCTGCTGCCTCCCAAGAGGCACATCAATAAGAAGATGGTTTGGAAGCAAAGTAGACAGGTCTTGAACCAGGCACTTCAATATGGGATGCAGTGTCAAAGTGGTGGTGGCTTAACCAGCTATGCCACAGCATCAGCACCTAAAACATTTCAATGTGCATTTTCAGATATAAAACTTAGTTTTGTTCATTTAATTTCTGTTTAAGGACATTCTATAATGTAATAATGCCACTTAAGAAATTGAAACCCTATAGGTGTCCCTTACATCTTTTAGAATACAATAGAAACACCTTAAGTTAGGCCCTCTTGGTGCTTCATGAACAGGTTCCTGCATAATTTTCACACATTCAGATACAAAGCTACTTGAAAGCCAGCTTCAGACACCATCCGCCACAAATAGAACATTTTTCCAAGTCCATGATTATACTTGCTCATTTCTCTCCCAGATTTACTTATACCAGAATCCTTGTCATGGCTCTATAATGGGTACAGTCTCTATTTCTAGTCCTTTTATTATTTTTTACAGTCTATTTTAGAATCTGTTCTTTGGATTATGACCCTCCCTCCTCTACTTGACCTTGAGTGTGTGACTTATGGTTTTCTCTTGTTTTCAGCATTTCCAACAATCCTATCCACAGTGAAACCCTGGTGACTACTTCATTCCCACCCTTGCCTTCCTGAAAAGATAGTGGAATCAGGTGCTTGTTAATCATGAGATGTAAAAAGTGAGTACTGGGGCCACATTGTGGCATGTGGGTAAACCTGCCACCTGCAATGCTGGCATTCCATGTTAAGTGCCAGTTTGTTTATGGCTGTTTCTCTTTTAGTCCAGCTCCCTGATAATGGGAAGAGCAGCAGAAGATGACACAAGTGTTTGGGCCACTGTCCCTCAGGTAGGAGACCTGGATGAAGCCCCTAGCTTTCCCCTGGCCCAGCCTCCATGGTTGCAGCCATCTGAGGAGTGAACACATGGATGGAAGATCTCTGTTTCTCCTTCTTTCTCTGTAACTCCGACACTCAACATGAATAAAAAACTTTAAAAGGTGAGTTATCCGGAAGCTCTTAAGGATGGGTACAATTGACCCACGCAATATGTAGGCTGGACTTTATGAAAGCAATGGATAATTGGGTGCTTTACCCAGGTTGTCTTTTCTAGAGAGAGCTGGAGATACGTAGAACAAGACTTCATAATAGTCTCTTGTACTACTAACCTCCCAGCTGACCAACTCTCTGCTGTTTGTATTTTTTATCACAAAGTTAATTGAGGCTACAATTTAGAAATGATAATATAGGTCATCTCCTGAGACCATACATGGATTCTTTTAACTAAAATACAAAATATGGGTTTCAGGAAAGTCTTCAGTCATCCATTGATGGATTACTTTTACATATAACTTTTAGTTGTTATTTCAAGGATGCAGTTCTACAATAAGCTTTAAAGATTCTCATTATTTTAGATTCCTGCTACCAGACATGCCAAAATATTTCTTAGAATCAATATTTTGCATGTACAGTATATTATGGTTGTTTAGTATTGCAGCTAGAACATGGTGAGAATGAGTATACTATTATTTAGTATGAAAATAGTAAGAACAAAAGAGAAGTTTGGTTTAAGAAATGCTGTCATTTACTGCACTGGCTGCTGCTGTTGCTTTAGATCATTCTGTGTATTTAAGTGAAACTGCCAATATTTGTTCTCAGCTTGCTTCCTCCTATCGCTCCTGCCTTTGTTCCATCCTGTAATTGTTCAAAAGGGGCTTGATAGATAAGTGTTGCTTAATGGTGCTGGTATGTATTTTGGGACTCTAGGATATTGTTTCTTACCTTCTCATCATATTTCATTGTGGACTTTGATTTTTAGAAAATAAGTGACCCCATTGAACTACCTGCCCAAAGCAGCTCTTATGATTCCAGACTTGGCAACAAGTGACAGAATCACTGTGTGAGAATCCACAGGTGAGCTCACAGAATTGGCTAGCAGGTGGCTCAGGAACTAGTGTGGGATAACAATGGAAATGAAGACAGTCTTCATGCATGGTGGTCAACAGGAGAAAGGAGAGCTTGCTTTTGTAAAGGGGGAAGCACTAAATAGGACATGCCTTTTCTAGCAATACTGACTTTCTGGCGCTTATGAAATCATGCTGAATAAAAACACCAAAATAAAGTCCATAAAACTACCCAAAACACGAAGCAGCCAAACTGATTTTCCAGTCACAAACAGGTCAACGTGAGCCAGTTGGCTTAGACCACAAGCAGTTCCCTGTAGCTCTAATTAACTGCTTCTCCTTTCCAACTCTTAAATAAGATCTAATAGTTTCTCTAAAAAAACCAGGACAATGAAGAAAAAGAATTAAACACTGTTCACTAGGTAATTGTTTATGAATTTTGTCTCCAAACTTCAATCTAAGGAGGAGATTAGAATGTTTACTTAATTTTCCCCCAATTCCACTTTACACAGTTTAATGGTAGTATTTTTGGAGAGTGAGAATAGGGGAAGGAAGTTTATATTTTTAGTTACTTTTTTCCTACCTATATTCTCCTAACCATATTATGAGAAATCAATAAAAGTTTATTTAATCTTAGAACCTTGTTTAGGCTTAGGTGTTATCTGATATTGCCAGCAAGGCTAAATGAAGGCCAAAAGCTTACTAACCTCATTACAAAACACAGCAACTCACCACTAGGCTCTCTTTTCCTGGCTAAGACTAAATCATTTTCACCCAACATCTAGCACATTGCCTTTGGCACATAGGTGGGGAGACTGTGAAATCTGAGCATAATTGACTCTCAGTCTGTGAGTCTCATTTTCTTGGCTCTGTCCCTTAGGCACCCCACTCTCATCTACTGCCCCACCATCATTTGCTACTAAACTTCCCACCATCTCTCCACTTATTAGAGTTTCTGTAAATTCACACTTTCCATGTTAACAGCCAGGATATACAAATACTTTCCAATTGACACCAAGCTTAGAAAGACTTTTTTTCTAAAAGAAGTGGATGAAAGGAGTAAAAGTTGCAAAGATGGAAGCTTAAGACTTTTAAGACTCAAATGGAGCAAATACAGATTTCCTTCCCAACTGTATAACCACCACTACCCTGATAATGTTTGACTTTTTTGATACCCTGTTTGCACACAGTTGGGGCTGACACAGTACCTGAAATCACCAAGAACTTACTTTTATGTTTAGACAATGTCCGCACATGGTGTAAGTTATTTATACATGTGGAGTAGTAACAGGAATTTCTTGGAGAGTTCCATAATGAAAGGCAAGAACAGCTTTTTTTATACACCATTGGCTTTCCATGTCCAGTTGTAGGTAAATAAAAGTGAAATGGGACATTGTCATCTAAAATAGCTATGGAATCTGAGACCTAGGATTATATTTGAAGCTGGCTCAAATATGTTTTTAGCTCTTATGTTTTGGATCAAGTTCCTATTCAGAAAACTAAAAAATGAACCATACCAATGAACATTGAGTAGTAGTGTAGAAAGAGACCAATTTGGAGGAATACAAAAGTCTACAAATTCCAAGAAATATGTGGTAAGGAGAATCTATAATATCTCATAGGGCCTATAAATTCCTCACTTGATGGGTGTTTCATAGAAAGTATGATCTTTCCTCTCAAATATATTCTCCACAGGATACCATCTTACATTTTGGGATTGATTATATTATGAATTTATTCTTGTTCTTGTACTTCAACTCTTTTGACAAAATTCTTCTACTATGAGGATTACAACTAGAATGATTGAAATATGTACATATGTATTTATTTTATTTGAAAGGGATATAGTCCATCTCTTAGCTCACTCTGCAAATGCCTGCAACAGCTAAGGAGCCCAGAACTCAATTTGGCTCTCCCACAAGGGTGGCAGGGACCCAAGTACTTAAGTCATCATCCACTGACTTCCAGGATGTGCATAAGCAGGAAGATGGAATTGGGAGCAGAGCCAGGGCTTGAAAACATGTACTTCGAGAAGGCATGTGGGCGTCCCAAGCAGCATCACAACTGCTGTGACAAATGCGCACTCCCCTTCTACAGCAAGATGATGCTGACTCCTCTATAGGTCTGTCTTACAGCAGTGAAAGGTGAATCCAGTGCCTACTCCCAGCAGTGTATACTCTGTCATTGAGGTACAACTAGAGTCCTTGGACACTCTCAAATTCTTTGGGGAAATCTCCCTTTTTCCTCTAGATATTAGCAATTTCCATTCTCTGTCATCTTTTTGCATGCTTTCTACCTCCAAAATAGATTTCATATCCTCTTTAGATCCTATCGACAAATGACAATTTTTCATCCTTTAAGGGACTTTGCCTTGGTCCCCAAGCCATTTGAGTAAATGTCTCATATCTTTTTTTCTCTTTTATTATTTAACACCTGGAGATGTTATTCATCCAACCTGGTAAATTTTTGGTTTTGGAGGAATAAATTTAGCCAAGCCTATACTAAAGATTTCCAAATCTATTTTTCCAAGGTAAACCTTTTCCTGAATTATAGATTCATATGCCTAGTGTAGCAGATGCCTTCAATGTCTCATTAATATGCTCTTGGCATTCATTGTCTATTAGGGTATTTCAAAAGATTTATGGAAAATTGAATTAAAAATACATTTATTTTGGTACAAAAATATTGAAATGCATGCCTGTAAGGAATTTTTTAAAAGTTCATGAAAAATTCAAATTATGAAATAACTAGGAGTGGATTTCAACATTTTTGCACAAAAATAAACTTTTAATTCAATTTTATCACAATCTTTTGGGAGTATACGTGTATATGCCAAAGAGATCTTACAGAACGAATGGCTTATCTTCTCTGTGGGCTTTTTTTTTCTGGTTATAGGAGAATGTCTGTACTATTCACAAGGCAAGCAAGAGAGCTGAGAGAATTAATGGTTCCAAAATCCATTTTTCAAACAATAATGTTAGAGATTTTGTAGATACAACCGCAGTGTCTAGTCTAAATACTGTCATTGTGTTCTAGAGTTACAAGTGATGCTGATCTTTGATTCTCCTGCTTAAAGTGGTAATAGGTGTGACAAATTGCATTTTGTAGGATTCCTTCCTGTCTAATCTAACCATCCTCTAACCTATTGCTGTTTGCCAGAATAAACTGCAAAACAAACTGCTCATATTTGAATTCTTAGAGTTTATTTAGGAGATAATGTAATACACATTATCTAGCAAAATACATGACTTTCCTACCCTGGGTATTCACTCATGGCTACATCAAGAATAATTAATTCCAAGAAACTTTTTGTTAAAAAATTATTTATTTGGGCTGGCACCATGGCTCACTAGGCTAATCCTCCACCTGCGGTGCCTGCACCCTGGGTTCTAGTCCTGGTTGGGGTGCTGGTTCTGTCCTGGTTGCTCCTCTTCCAGTCCAGCTCTCTGCTGTGGCCCGGGAAGGCAGTGGAGGATGGCCCAAGTGCTTGGGCCCTGCACCCACATGGGAGACCAGCAGGAAGCACCTGGCTCCTGGCTTCCGATCGGCGCAATGTGCCGGCCGTAGCTGCCATTTGGGGGATGAACCAATGGAAAGAAGACCTTTCTCCTTTTCTCTCTGTCTCTCTCTCTCACTGTCTAACTCTGCCTGTCAAAAAAAATATTTATTTGAAATGCAGAGTCAGAGAGAGAGAGAGAGAGAGAGAATGAATCTTCCATTTGCTTGTTTACTCTCCAAATGTCCGTGGCTTGGACAGGGCCAGGTGAAAGCCAAGAGCCTGGAACTTTATCTGGGTTTCCTGTGTGGGTGACACAGAACCACAACTTGGGCCATCCTTCATTGCCTTTCTAGGCACCCCAGTAGCGAGCTCGATCTGAAGTGGAGTAGCCAGGACTTGAACTAGCACTCACATGGAATGCTGGCATTGCAGGCAGCTGCTCAACCTGTTGCGCCACAACATGGGTTCCTCCAAGCAAATTTCTTATCATTTACTTTCAATCTGCTTTTCCTTCTGCATGCTACAATCTCTACCTTCCAAGACTAAATTCTCATACTTCAAAGAGAGTTTGTTACAAATTCTATCAATTCTATCTTGGGGACATTTCTCAGTTCAGTACTTTCCTCTTTCTTGTCATCTCTTACCTGTGTTATCAAATGATCAGTTCTCCCTGTCTTAAGTTTCAGTTTTGGAAATGAAGAAGAGGGAAATTTAGAATGACTTCTAGGTACTTGTGGTTCTGAGAAATGTCATTAAAAATTGGAAGAAGTCTTAGAAAGCAAAATGTTTGAAATTGTTGTCATATATGTTGAGTCTGAAGAGTCAGTAAGCCACTAGCATGGAACTAGCAGGTAGTTGCATGGACAATGGAAAGTGGGCTTGGAAGTGGACATGACAGTGGCGTTGTTACGTAAATATATGTGCTTATTTGCAGCCATGGAAACAGGAGATCCTCTAGGGAGAGCACACACAAGGAGAAAACAAGTAAAGGCACAATCTAAAGAATACTGACTTTCAAGGATAGACAAAAGAATAAGATCTTGCAAAGGGAAACTGCAAGAATAACATGAAAGCCGCGAGGAAAACTACAATAAAGGGAGAAAATCAATATGCTTAGAAAGTGTAGCAGGAGCTAGAAAATTTTATTCAATGTGAACTTTTCAGTGAGATCTTAACTCATCATTTTGTTGTAAATAGAACTACCTTTCCCATTTCCCAGAAGTTCGTATGCCTCTTCTGTGTTCATTTATTTCAAAGTGCTGTTTAGTATCAAATTTATATATGTGTCATTTCATTTCATTTTTGTTTTGGTATCCCCATTGTCTAATATATGGTGGGCACTTAACAAAAGTTTTAGGAACAAATTAAAATAAGGGAGTTGGCACTCCAGTTGAATTCAGAAGAGTAATGGTGCTTTTGTAATTAAAAGGGCATTAATGGCATTTTCCAGGACATTTGTGCCTGAAGCATGGATACAGTGAGTTAAAAAGCAAAGTTTGAGAAGCAGTGAG